AACATATAGAAAAAGCAAGTTGTTGCATGCCAGCCTCCATTTTTTTAACACGGATATAATGCATTTCAAAAGCAACTTTCCTTATAAAGTCCTTATAAAATATACTGCCAGTATAATAATAATTTCACTGTCACTACCAGGGTTAAATGTTTAGTGCCTTTACAGAAAAAAATTATTTGGTAAAAAAAATAATATGAATATACTAGATTAAAATTATAGTGCAATAATTAATGCAACAGGTGTCTTAAAACAGCAACAGGACACCAACACTTTAAAATAAAGGTTCCGGGGGTTTCACAACATAGAAGAGTTCCTAAAAAAACTCTCAGTGAACAGTTCTTAAAAAAGAACCATATGAACAACATTTTGAGAGTCTGAAGAAGCCTTTTCCACTATACAGAGAACCTTTTGTGAAATGCAAAGGTTCTTCATGGAACCATAGATATCAACAGAGAATCTTTATTTTTAAGCATGAAGGAGAGCTCTCACAGCAAGACAACCTCAACACCACATACATGACTAGCTCTGTTAATGAAAAACAATGCTTGTCAGAATAAGCATATAACAGTCTGATGACACAGAGCAGTGAGACGAGCATTCAGCCCAACAAACGTTACCCTCAATGTGACATTAAAACCTGCTTACCGCAGCATGGAGAGCAAGGACTGTGGTCTGGAGGCAGGGTGTGGGCTCAAAGAGCAGAGTGGTCCTGATTTACGTCACAGAGACTATAATCACGCCTGAGCGGACACATGAGTCACTTCAGAATCAAGAAGGGAGGAGAGCTCTGGCCAAACATCAACTAAATGTGGCTGACCGATGTCTCATCGTCTGGGGCAAAACGGCACAGTGCATTTTAACAACGGAAATCTCTGGGGGTTGAGGAGATTGATGGGGAACGGTAGAAAAACAAGCCTGACAACAGATATAAAGCAGATTCTGTGTAAGGTACAATTCTAAAAAAATGTTATACTTAGATGATGTGTGACAAATTGAACTGGCTGGTGTAAAGCTGATGTTACTTACACATGCTGTGGAATTACACAATTTTGGGGTCAGTAAGATTTTATTTTTCTCGAAATAAAACACTTTTCTTCAGCAAGGACACATTAAATGAATCAAAAAGTGACAATTTATGTTACAAAAGATTTCTATTTCAAATAAATATAGTTCTTTTGGACATTATATTCATCAAAGATTCCTGAAAAAAAAAATCTACAAAGATATTAAGCAGAAAATCTGTTGATCGATAATAAAAATAAAAATTTTTTGACCACCAAATCAGTATGTTAGAATGATTTCTAAAGGATCATGTGACACTGAAGAATGGAATAATGGCTGCTGAAATTTCAGTTCACAGGAAATTACATTTTAAACTATATTAAAACAACATTTTAACATATATTAAATATAGAAAATAGTTATTTTAAATTGTAATAATATTTCACAATATTCCTGCTTTTACTGATCAAATAAATGCAGATTTGGTGAGCATAAGACATTTCTTTCTTTTACCAACCCCAAACATTTGAATTGTAGAGCACATCAAAATTTAAATGACTATGACTACAAAAAAAAAAATCTAAACGTTAGTACAGGATAACTTACGTTATTGATCCTTAAAGGAACCAATTAAGCCTTACTAATGCACTAATGATAACGGATGTTGTTCTCATGGAAATTATAGATATTTCCATTTTTCCAACATAGATGTGTTCAAATTCAAAATTCAAGTAGTTAGTCTGTTGTTATCCTGTGAGTCAGGCTGTCTCACCCCAGCATAACCCAAGTCAACACACAGAAAAGAAAGACTATTCATAAAACTGTAAACAAAGACTATATATATATATATGAATGCAGTCAGAGGAAAATGTGTCTAATTTCATCCCAGTCATCACTCCCTCACAAATGGCCCTACCTATAACACTGTCCTGTTTATTTGACCAAGTTCATGAGCCCTGTTTACATACATACATTATACACTCATGTACACCTGTTCAACTGCTCATTAGTACAAATATCCATCTAGCCAATCACATGGCAGCAACTCGATGCATTTATAGGCATGAAGACTTGGTCAGGACAATCTGCTGAAGTTCAAACCGAGCATCAGACTGAGGAAGAAAGGTGATTTAAGTGAATGTAACTTTGAATGTGGCATGGTTATTCGTGCCAGACAGGCCGATCTGAGAATTTCAGAAACTGCTGATCTATTAGGATTTTCATGCACAACCATCTCTAGGGTTTACAGAGAATGGTCCGAAAAGGAGAAACTCTAGTGAGCAGCAGTTCTTGTGGGTGAAAATGCCTTGTTGATGCCAGAGCTCAAAGGAGAATGGCCAGACTTCGAGCTGATAAAGACAACAGTTACTCAAATAACCACTTGTTACAATCGAGGTATGCAGGAGAGCATCGCTGAACACAAAACACATGAGATGCCACCACACCGGGTGCCACTCCTATCAGCTAAGAACAGGAAACTGAGGCTACAATTTGCACATGCTAACCAAATTTGGACAATAGAAAAAAAAGTTTGCCTGGTCTGATGAATCTTGATTTCTGCTGCATTATTTGGATAGGGTCAGAATTTGGCGTAAACAGCATGAAAGCATGGATCCATCCTGCCTTGTATCAACGGTTCAGGCTTGAGGTGGTGGCGTAATGGCACCACACTTTGGGCCCCTAAGCACCAACTGAGCATCGTTTAATCACCACAGCCTACATGAATGTTGTTGCTGACTACGTCTATCTCTTTATGACCACAGTGTACCCATCTCGTGATGGCTACTTCCAGCAGGATAATGCGGCATGTCACAAAGCTCAGACTGGTTTCTTGAACATGACAATGACAAAAAACTGTTTGTCTGAAAATTCAGATTCAATAATCGATACATTTGAAAAGTTTTAGTTTTTTTAATTTTCATAGTAATGTTGGTACATCATTCTGAATATGAGTGAACTTGATTGTTATAGATATTAAGGAGATGATGACTGTGCCCTTCTTAATTAAAGAGTATAATGACAGAAAATACACACTGAAGGATATGCAAGTACAGATGTTATAGCAAAAGAAATCTCGGTAGATTTCTTTCTTTCTTTTTTTTTTTTTTTAAAGTAAATTGACCTGTATTTTATTTTACAGTGAAGTATAATTCTGGAGAATGAAAGATTACATTGATCATATTGAAACTAAACATTACAAACAACTATTTTGAACCTTCCCCTCCATTTGGCTGAAGTGTTGCTGTCCCTCAACTTGTATTACAGCATCACACTTAAAAGGTTGCAGACCAGCCCAAAATACTGGTCTAATACTAGCAAAAAAAACATGGATCATTACATGGTATCAAACGTTCTGTTCTGCATATTTACTAAGGATGAGGCCAATGAGTGTTTACACTGAAGATTTTTTGGAGTGCCAACTACAGTCATTTTTGTTGAACTTCTTGTCAACTACAGATGGACCACAACCTTCAAACATCTGCTACATGCTCTAAATTCTACATCACATGTGGGCACAGAAACAAATGAAATGTTGTAACAAAGTGAACAGTTTAAACAGAGTTATTAAAACACTTGTCATGGATCTTTTTAAGATCCAGTTTCTGGCTTGAAATTTTTAAGACTAATCTATTTCAATTCAATGTACAGAATATGCAAGGCAAATGTACAAAATGGCATTTCAAAAAATAAGAAATCAGGAAGGGGGCCAACACTTTTTCACACCACTGTATATATAAAAAAGAAGAAAAGAAAAAAAAAGTATTCACAAAGCCACACAGATTGACACCATGGCCACAACAGAAAAACTCTATCTTTGGTGGAGAACCAACCAACCAACCAAAAAAAACAACAACAACAACTTGGCAGTAACCTCATATATCCAGTAGAGGGCAGCACTTTTAAGGTTTTTCTGTGCTGGCTCATTATACCTCAACCTAAAGAAGAAGCCTTCATTCTTCAAAACAATCTGCATATTAATACATAGCTAAGTTGGATATGTAAATACATTTTTACAGATGAGTCAACTGAACTCAGATGAATTAACCCTGGCAGTCACAATTCTCATTCTTTGGATCAGCACCCTGTGAGATAATCTTCACCTTGAACACAACACCCTCCAAACACTTAAATCTAATAATGCACTGAACAACATTAAACGACATAAAGGTGAAGAACCAAATTTAAAACAACACTACAGCTCTTGATGCACATCTGTGTGTGAGCCTGTGCAATATAACCAGAGTTAAGGCTTTAATGTGTTCATCGTAGCACTTTCTCTAAAAGAGGGCACATTAAAATGATTATCACACCAATAACAACACCCATAACGTGTGAGTAACAGATCTTATGATACCCTGTTAGTCCCACTGGAGCATCAACAGCCCCTACACTAAACACAGTACACACAGAAAACAAAAGCTAAAAGTCTACATGTCCTGGTCTATATGATGTGACATCTGAGATGTCATCGAATATAATATGTACTTGAAGTAAGTGGATATTTGAGTCATCATGGTAAATTTACATAACTACATTGTTAAACAATGAGCTTGTTATAGATTTCAAAGTCAATCTCTCTCTACAAGAAAGTGTTGCCACAGACAATTTTTTTAAAGTCCAGGACAAGATGTAACCGCTGTTGTACAGTTATCGCCACATTTCGGGTTTGAGTTTAAAAAAAGGAAAAAGCTGTCCCTTAAAAAAAAAATGCTGGAATAGTTCACCCACAAATGAAATTCAACCTCAAGTTGTTCCATACCTGAATGAGTTTCATTCTTCTGTTGAACACAAAAGAATGTTGGTAACCAAACAGTATTTTTTTTCCCATACTACAGAAGTCAGTGGCTTCTGGCAACTGTTTGTTTCCCCAACATTCTTCAAAATATCTTCTTTTGTGTTTTTTTTTGTGTCAGAAGAAAAAAACTCATACAGGTTTGGAACATTTTGAGGGTGAGTAAATTATCATTTTTGGATGAACTATGCCTTTAAGTCAGTTTTTTGTTGTTTCACGAAAAGACCAAAATGTTTATTGTTTTCCTTAGCTGTAACTCTGTGACTAAACACAGTCCACCACAGGCTCGCCTTCATGCCCTTCCTCTTCCCCCCACATCCCGAACCTCATATCCTCATCATCCATGGATCCTCCATCTCCCTCTCCCAAACCAGCCATTCCCATTGCTTCATCCGCTCCAGGCTCACCCTGATGTGCACGGAGGTGTTTCCTCAGACTAGCCGGATCTTTAAAGCCTCTGTGGCAAAGTGGGCAGCAGCACGGCCGCTCTCCCGTGTGTATGCGCTGGTGGTGTTTCAGATGCTGCAGACGGCTGAGCCTTTTCCCGCAGACGCTGCACACATATGGTTTTTCACCGGTGTGTGTGCGGCGGTGCTTCCGCAGGCCATCGAGATGACGAAACTGCGTTCCGCAATCGGAGCAGGAATACGGTTTCTCACCCGTGTGGATACGGAGGTGAGTCTTAAGAGCCCCAGACTCGCGGAAACGGCGGCCACAGACAGTGCACGGATACGGTTTCTCTCCCGTGTGGATCCTCAGGTGCTTTTTCAGGCTAGAGATCAGACGGAAGGTCTTGCCGCACTCCAGACACAAGTGAGGACGTTCCCCAGGTGCCTCTCCCATCAGCTCAGAGATGGAGCGCCGTATGGGCTCTTCTGGCGATGAGCCGCCCACCCCTGGGCTTCTACTGGTGATCATACCCAAACCAGGAGCATCCCTCTGGGCTGATCTAAGTCCAGAGGTTCCTTGTGATGGTGAACTACTGGAGGAGGGCCCATTGTGAGGCCTGGAGGGGGGCGGTGGTGTAGGTTTGGATTGGTGATGGTGTGAACGGGAACCTCCTTCTTCCTCGACCACGTGGACGTATGCCAGATCACACACACTCTGCGCTGAGTGCTCGGCTTCTGTGGGCGCCTCTCTTCCCCGCACACACACCTGTCCAGAGGCAGGAACCTGCTCCTCTTTAACAGAGAAGCTAGTGTGTGAGGGAGGGTTTTGGGGTCTGGCGTGTGTGAGTCTTCTGCTGTCATCCACCATCTCACCTGTGACACACATCACACATTTATACACAGGTAGGCCTATGAGAAAAGTCAACTTTGGCATGACAACTTCATAATTTGTAAAACTGCTTTGTCATTGTGCTTCATAAGGATATTAGATTCCTTGCATATAATGTGATATCTGTACTTTTCACAGACAAAACTATTATAAATGTTAAACGCCAGACAGTTTCATTATAGGTCTTTACGGCTGTAAACTACCAATTATAAAACTGTTAAACAGAGCCTACCAAAAGCTGTTTTCTCTAAATTGTTCAGTTAAGAATAGTAGATGTTTTGTACATCAAAGGTAAACATTCTTTCAATACATTAAAAGTAACAATAAAATGGATTATCAGTTATTCAGACTGTCTCAAAACATTTATGTGCCTTTATTATTATTGTTGTAAATATTCATGCATTTTATGATTTTTATTTTTTGAGATTAATAATTAGACTTATGTCACAAAGCAGTGAAATATTGGTATGGTTATCAGACACACAAGCATAAAAATAATCAGTATCAGTTGTAAAACATGAATAACTGTCGATCTCTAAACTAGGGAAACAAGAACGCCCCAGTATTAAACATTTTCAGGTTATGGTTGATAATCAATAAATGGACAACATTAAAAGAATACTATTTATAATATTTAATATTACAATATAAAATCAAATCATTTGAAATGCTACATTTTAGGCATTAAAAATTTTGCGATTTGCTAAAGAGTCAAGTTAACAATTTTAGTAAATTATTGAGAAATTATTATTAATATCAATTATATAAAATGTAAACGAGAGAGAGAGAAATGTCTATGCACAATTAAATATCGACAGACAATTAAATTGGAAAATCTACAATTAGCAGATAGCCGCTTTATTGTGAGCCCCTTTTCTAAAGCACTTGGTGTTGTTGCTGTCTAATTCCTACATGCTTCTGTGTTAGCACATCAACAATTCACATTACATGCAATAAACTGAGTGTTGTCTTACCAGGTCGGTTCATGTCTGAACAGATGTTAGAGGAATGGACGGATATAGGGTCATAAAAACTGTTTGTCACCGTCCCATCCGCCTGAATGGAGAGGTGGCAGCTCTTGAATTCCTCCCTGGAGTCAAAGCCGTGTATGGCATCACCAAGAGCGCCACTCAACTCTGGTTCTGCTCCAGTAAAGCAGCGCGGATCCGGCTCGGGCGCACTCCGATGTGTCAAGCGGCTCGAGTTCACGGGTCCAGCGGTGGCGTAGACGTGAGGTCCCGGCATGGATGGGTTCCCAAAGGGACCCTGAAGCTGGTCGATTAATTTCTGCGCGCTACACAGGCACTCCTGTAACGTCTTGAGCTCTCTCTCTGAGACTTCGAGTCGAACCTTCAGCTTCTCGTTCTCTTGCTCTTTGGTCAGCAGCTCCCGCTGGGTCTCGGACAGCACCGCCACGATCTCGCCCAGAAGGGTGTCCACCGCCGCGGACAGAGTGGACCGGATGGTCGGTCCGAGGCGCGTTCGGAGTGTGGAGATGGATAGGTTTTTGTCCCGGACTGTGTTTTGCATGCACTCATCCTTCTCTGCCTTATGAGATGAGTTGATAATAGTTTGTTTACGGTGAGAAGCGCTCGCTGATGAGCTGTTTGTTGCTGTTGGTACCGACACTGGATTGATTCTGCCCGCCCCGTTTTCAGCGTTGTTGCGCTTTGAGTTCATAGCGAATTCTTCTGCTGTAACGTTACACACAAACGAAGAGGGAACCTATTTAAGTAGTTATTGCTGTGATATATTGATGTTATATAAAACGGAAACGGTCATCTTTTGGAGTCTCGTTGCGACAGTAACGTTATTTCCTAATCACTCGGAAATGAAAAACTAGATACGAGCCAGATGAGCTACTATAGCATTGCCATTAGCAAACTAGCCCACGCATTCCTCTTGAAAATGGAGCTTTTTGCTGCCTTGGTTTTGGTGAAATCTCGATAAATATCCGCACTGAATGCTCACGGCAATACTGTCGTTAACCTGCATTTAATGTAGTAATCGCTTTTTCGCTACGCACCAGAGCCCGGCCCGAGCCTGCATTCCACAGTACAAATGCTGGGGCCAATCCTGACTTTTGATTGGTCAAAGATGTGGTCGCGGCTTAATGACATACTCTCGCGTAAACAAAGCGCATATAAATGACGACTTTCGGAACGAAAAACGGATTAACGTCAAAGAATTTATACTGACTGCTATACTCTTTGTTAACGTTCATTAGTGTTTAGTTTATTAGTCATGTCGTACACAAAATTCTAGTTTACACATCAGATGTTAGTTTGTGTAAAATAATGTATTTAACAATTGATTAAAGATCAACTGTAATAAACCATTGAAATGAAATATGAAAGTCAAGTTCGCCAAGATAAACTTTGATGTTGGCTTGACGTGAAATTTTAATTAGCTATAAAACCTGGAAGTTTAAAGGGTTATCTTGTCCTACAGACAATACTGTCAGATAGACAGAAAGACCTACACCAGTGGTTCTCCACCCACCTTTAGGGGGTCTCGGGGGCCCTTATAAATATTAAAATAATTAAAATTAAGTTATATTAAAAAAAAAAATGTTAAGATGTGCAAGATTAAAATAACATATTTTGGGTTTATTTTTATTAGAACAGAAGTACCACAGATAGGCTTGAAGTCAAAAAGGGTAAAAACCACTGCTCTACACCACCATCTTTTTCAAATATTATCATTAATGCTCTCTGTGAATGGCAAATAAAGTTTACAACTTGTTTAATTTATGCTGCAACTGGTTCATATAAAAGATTGTGCAAATAATTAAAATGTAGATGTGGCTGGGAGAAATCTGGGCATTAATGGGTTATGTTTGAGCTGTAAGTAACATAGTCAGACCTACTCTTTAGTTCCAACTTTATATGGGACACTCTGCAGGCAGAATGGTTTTGACTATACAAGAGGGAATTATGAGTATTAGATCTTTTGCTTCAGGTGTGAATATTATAGTTTCTGTGTGAAATTCTCATACCTCTCTAACTTGTCATACAAAATCATGACTGTGGAAGGAATAAACATTACTGTGTGTTACATTACCCCTTCGGTTTCTTGAATGATTATTTGAAAAGGTAACCAGAAATATATTGCATTGTATAACCAGAAATGTATTCCACAATACTGCATATCTATATAAACCCCTTGTCCAAATACCTGCACTTGCGGTCTCTGCACTTGACCACTTGACTACTTATATGATGTATTTCCGTGTTCAAGTGAGCATGAAGACCACAAGTGTAGAACTTTTCATTACTTGATGGGACACACTTAAAAGTGTTGTAAAAATGCAAGTGTTTGCAGAGCTTTATTTTTATTTTCAATACTTTGCATTTTAAAATCAACTTCTAAATGTCTGTTCAGTAGTCCCTATAACAGATGGCACAACTTTGTGGTGCTTCTAATTAAGTGATAAAAAGCAGTTGCAAATGTTGTACAAAATAATTATCACCACTACTCATTTGCGCCAACAAAACGTGCAACTCTTTGTTTTACTACCAAATTATATGTAATATCTAACTATTATTAATATTTAACATACATTGGTTTCCATGACCTCTCACGAGATCTTGGCAAAAAGTCTCAGGATTTATTTCCAGAACAGGATGCATGATGGGATACACTAAGCCTCGAATACGGCTCCGGAGCGGTATTCAAGATAGTGTGGGTTTAGTGCGCGTTAAGGGCACTGCGCTTTGGCGTTTTTAAGACCTGGGACAGTCTTGCGCACGCGCTCTCAAGTGGCCAAGACCGCAAGTGTGGGTATTTGGACAAGGGGAAAGACTCCCCCTGTCCCTTGGTATAACTTTTACATTTCCTGTGATCATATGAAACAGTAGGCTATTGAGATTTGTTGTGTTCTTGGTCATGTTGTGCTGGTGCAGCAGCGCCACCCGGTGGCAAATCTTAGTATATCAGGAATCGGAAATAATAACAATTAAATTTGGGTTGTACAAAACATATACCACAGTATATGTGCCAATTTAAGCACATGGGTGATTCTATAATTGGAGATACATTTGGCATTGCAGAAAGTTAAGAAAAAAAACTTTTCACTAACTGA